CTCTCTCTCTCTCTCTCTCTCTCTCTCTCTCTCTCACTCGTGAAATGGATTTCCGTGCACGACGGGGAATCGAGCCAACAACAACAGCTCCTTTTCTTTTTTCACTTTTTCATCGATCGATCGATCGATGCCAGCCAAAGAGAGAGAGAGAGAGAGAGAGAGAAGAAATAATGAACTGGAAAATGGATCCGGGATGGAAAACTTTGGATAACCCTCTCTGGTCTCGGCTCAGGAGATAAGAAATGGACGTGGGCTCGAGAGGATTCTTAGATAGATGCCAATACTGTGTCATATCGTCGTTTCCGTGATTTCCGACAATCGGGACAGTTTCGCTCTCCCGGAACCGTCCTCGCATTCGACTGGAATAGATCTGTTTCTGACACTTATATATAAGTATATATATATATATCTAATCTTAATTCGACTGCTTATTTTCCGATTTCCATTCTATTTTCTACCATTCGAATATCGAATATCGTTGCACACATGTCGAATCACAGCTGGCGACGACTTTTCCAACTTCCGGGCTCGAGCGAGTATGCCACGCTTCAAAGAAGTTGCTCGAGAACTTTAAGAGCGCCGTCGGTAAGATAGATAGACACTAGAGGGCCGGATATACCGACAACACGACTATTCCTCAAGGAGGCGGTCAATAATATCGAGGCTAACCGAGTCGAAAAGGGAACGAAGTTTATAGGTATACCGTTTCCTCCTTCATAGACGATACTTCCCTCCGGAAATCGCAAATAAAAGGGATCTCCTTTAAATGTTCCATTAGGGAGGATCCATTAAGAAACGGTATGGCCACTTTCGAGCGGTACCGTTTAGCGTTATTGTCGTCTAAATTATTTCAATCTGGGTCGAACGGGGTGGAGGAGATTTTTTTTTTTATCTTTCGAAATTTGGGAGAGAGCGGGGCAATCGTAGGTTTGTTAACGAAGGAAATAAGTGGTGTGTAAGTATGTGCCGATCTTTAATATAGTTAGTTTTAAAAATAGTTAAGAAAAATCGTTAAGATTCAGAATCCTTTTTAATATTCGTAACAGAGAAAGAAGGAACAGCGATTTAAATAACATGATATACGAGGAATGTGTTAGTTAGGTTTAAAAATTTAAAAAAATCGAAGAGCAATTTAAATAACCTCGTGTACGCTTTATATAATTTTTAATAATTTTCGTGGAATCTGATCTTTTCCAACCGTTGGCAAACACGCGTTCGTTCGAATCCTCCAACCGCAAGATTCCTAAAGTATCCCATAAACTCTTCGAACGATGCATCGATCGAGAGAAATCATGCGTTCCCTTCCTCTCGAAAAAGATTCGTTTCGCAAAAGTCGTTTGGCAACGTTGGACGAGGATATAACGCGTGCACATAACTCGTATACATACATACACACACACACACATATATATACACACACGGGTATATAAACCGAACCGCAGATACGAGCAAACTCTGCGGGTGCAAATTTAACCGTAACGTGACGAGGCTTGCTTACGTTGTCGAGATGTCGTCAAACACACAGTCTGGCCTCCCGTCACCCGATCGTTTCGAAACCCGTCTCTGTTCAGGCTTAATGAACCGCTGTACGCATATATAATTTTTAATCAAACATCACGCGGATGCTCGAATGCAAAAGTATCGAGATCTTACTTCACTTAAACTTTTTCTTTTTCTTTTTTTTTTCTTTTTTGAATATAATCAATCAATTTTATCAATATATCTGGAATCTGGATCCAATTAATCCTTTCCAAAAATCTTTAAATATTTCGATGAGAGAGACTTTGTATCGATCGAAAGAAATCGAGGAGGGAGGAAAAATTAAAAATTGTTCAAAGTAGTTTATCCTAGAGGAGTGACAAACACCTTTGGTTTCTCTTGTTCGCAGATTGGAGCGCTGAAGGAATACTTCCTGTTCGCTGACAAACGACTTCACAAGAGATCCCTCTCGAGCAGCGAGTCGCATCACAAGACGCTGAGGGACGAGCCGAGGGTAAGTGATTCCCATCTTTGGTGTGTCGGCGTGCGAAGGCGTGCCTCGTCAAACTTGAACGGCGCGCAAGTGCGAAACACAGAGAGAAGCCGCGTAATTTCGCTTCGTTTGTCATCGCGCCGGGTGCATTGTTCCCCCTCCATTCTAATTTTCTGACAACGGTAAATTAGATGGTAATGATCTTGGCGTTGTATCTCGCCGCCTGTGGCGAATATCTCTTTTATCTCTCGAATAAAACTGATTAATTTTTAGTAGCGTGCCTGGTATTTTTAAAAAGCGTTGGAAGCGAACTTTAAACGACTTAACTATTTAATTCGGTCGATTTTTTTTTGTTCGTTGACTCGCGAGTGTTTCGATATCGACAAATTGCTTTGTTAAACTTTCGCTAAAAAAAAAATAGATTTTTTTTTTAATTCAACTTCCTTGAAAATTACGTTTTACAAGTTTTTTTTAAAGCATATTCAAAAACGCTATAAAAAAAATTGCCTCCTTTCTCCTTCGTGAAACGATTTTATTGCAGATTAAAAATTTTGTAGAGAGATTTTTTTTTTTTCAACTGAAATTAATATTTCTGAAGAATGATACAAAAAAAAAAATCTTCGAAACGAAATATCAATATGCTGAAAATCGATTATTTCGAAGTTTGCGTTAATTAATTGCATTTTAAGAAATTTGTCAAATTATTTCAACCATAAAAATCTATTTTGTTTCGAATTAAAAATTTTTAATTTTTTCTTCTTTTTTTTTTTATTAATTTAATATTGAATCATCTCGTCATTTCTTATATAACTTAATGCATCGTAAGTATCTTATAATATTATCAAAGGAGATAGAGAAAAAAAAGAGGGGAGGGGAAACAGATAAAAAGACAGAGCGTTAAAATAAAAGTCATCCTGATGACAGTCTCAGAAACTGTTTCTCTCTTCCCTCTCGTCCTCGTTCCTTTTTTCTACGAGCAAAAACATGGTAAAATACCATCGGTGTTTCCAAAGATAATATTATGGCTGCGCCATCTTTTCAACCGCGGCCATTGTCTTTTTCTCGCCCCGATGAAACACTTCGACGCGAGATGAAACGACAGTGAAAAGTTTATTCAACAAATACGGAGGTTGAGCCATTTACAGGACATATAACCTGTATTTATGACGAAGCAACAATTGTCTAAGCCCGAGTAAAATAACCGAAGGAGCGAAATGGAGAAGTGATTAATCGAGATCGTTCTTTCGTTCAATTGATGTCCAAACAGATTACGTCGTTAATGGAAAGCAGTGCGAAGTGGAAATGAGAAAAGTTCAATGTTTCAATGTTCAGTTAAGATAGACAAAAAGATGTTTCATATTGTGTAAAACATGCTGAATTATATATTTCTATGTTTTAGAGTCGCAACAACGAGTCATTGCGTTCATAAAACTTTAATTTTTATATTAATAAAACGCGAAAAGAAAATAAAAATATTGTCACTAAAACTCAGTCAAGATTTAGAAGAAACCGTGTTATTGAAGTCACTTTTTGTTTCATTCCGATATCTCAATTGGTTGCCGAGATATAACAAATTCAAAGTTTCTTTTAACTGCTTATGACGCGTCTATATTTTTTCTTGCGCACTGCATCTTTTCAGGAACCGCGTCTAGAATTTGCGATAGATCGATCGCGCGAGCGAGAGATCCGAGTGAGGGACAAGGACGAAAATGGTAAACGATCAAAAATTATCCTTTTCTTTACACGACGATATCTCGGTAATCGGAAATCGTATCGGTATAAATCGAAAAGCATTTTAAAGGACAAGGTTTCTCGCTTCTGACTATCTTTCATTAATCGATCGGAAGTCGCTATCTTCGGAATTACAGCGGTTCAAAGTTTTTCTAATTTCAGTAGGATTCAATAGGGTTTAAAATAACTAAAAATTAATCTTTTCTTTGCACGATGATATCTCGGGAACCGGAAATCGTTTCGAAATAAATCAAAAAGCATTTTAAAGGACAAGGTTTCTCGCTTCTGACTATCTTTCATTAATTGACCGGAAGTCGCTATCTTCGGAGTTACAGCGGTTCAAAGTTTTTCTAATTTCAATAGGATTCAATAGAGTTTAAGATAACTAAAAATTAATCTTTTCTTTGCACGATGATATCTCGTGAACCGGAAATCGTTTCGAAATAAATCGAAAAGCACTTTAAGGGACAAGGTTTCTGACTATCTTTCATTAATTGACCGGAAGTCTAATTTCAATACGATTGAATCAGATTCAAGATTCAAGACGATAATTAGAAAATCACGTTTCGAAGTCAATATTTTACGGAAATCGAGGAAAGCGAGTGCGATAAGTCAAAGCTCCCTCCGTTCCAGTGCATATACGTCGAGGATCCGACATCAAAAATGTCAGCTTTTCAGCTGATCCACGAATAAGTATACACACCGTTAACGCGAGCTCGCGTAAACGCTTGCTGTGAACAGGAGTTGAATACAATCAGATTACACGGAAAGGTTATTACGCGCAGTCTAATCAAGTTTGCCATCAAACAGCAGATCGTTTAACGTCGTTACACGGTCCGTGTAACGTGTAATAACTTTTGTCACGCGTTGCCAAGCTTTTCACCCCTCGTCACCCCGCCCACGTCACCGACTGCGTTTTAAATTGGATTCTTAAAGTGCATACGAGATGTAATTCCGCGGTGATCGAACATCCGCGCTAATTTCAACGTAACAGATGCACATCTAAAATCCTCTTCCCGAATAAAATTTTTTCAATATCATTTCATTTCTCCCTTCAAAAAAAAAGAAAAACAATCAGTCACATCTCTTCCCCTATTAAGAATTTTGCGTGTTCACGGTTCACGGTGTCGCGAGCAAGTGGAAAATCGAAATAATACGCGAAAAAATACGCAGCTGGCGCAGAGCGAAAAAAATTTCACCGAATATACATACATATATATATATATATATATATCGGTTGAGCCGTATGGCGCCTTGTAAACGGGACCATCGACGTACCGTTTTCGCGGTCGAGCTTCGGCCCGACGGAGCGTGAAACGCGCGACGCCTCGGTCATCGTTTCATTCATATCGGCCGAGTTAAATAAACCCACGGGAGGGGATTCACGGGCCCCTGAATTTTGGCCAACTTCCAAAAAGTGGCGGTTGGACTCGCGCCTCGCCTCGCTTATTCTCCTCCTCCTCAACGTTATCCGCAACGTTCGTGCCGGCCAGATTATAATTTTCGAATTGAATAAATATTTGTCGCCAACTTGTTGATCGCTGCTCGCAATTTTTGGTTAGTTAGGTGGCGAGATTCGATCGGGATCCGTTTGTACGAATAAATTACTCGATGTCGGCGAATATTATCGATCGCGACCAACGTTCGTTGTTAACGCGTGTTTATAAATCGCGTCGAATCGACGATCTGAAACGGCGCAAACAAAGCTCGCCTTGTTAAACAAATTTCACGCGGAGCGAAATAAATTTCAATTCGCGAGCGTCGCGATAAATCAATCTCGTTTAACGTTAACGTTACCCCAAGGATTCCTGTGTATGCACGAACGCGTTTCTTATTCGCTTCCTCGATTTCTCCGAAGGTTTGTCTCCTCTTGGAAATAATGCGTATACTTTAACGGAGGGAAGGAAAAATCCATCCTTCCAGCGTTGGACAATTTTTCATCGATCTTTTTTTATCAATAATTTTATCGAAAAAGTAGAAAATCATTTGTTGAAAAGATATTTCAATTTACGAAATCGTATCAAATTGATCAAAAAATTTTTGAAAACTCGAAAAAATTTATCCAAGAAAAACGCAATTTTTCTTTTGACGAGATATAGATATTTAGGATTAGATATAATTTATTCGAAAAAAATTATTTAACACATTTTTTTTATAAAATCTCGCATCTTGTATAAAAATTCGATAAAATCTTCATAAATACTCGTTACTACTTTAAGATTTTATCCAATTTATCCAATGAAAATTATTTGATATACGAAAAACACAATTCTTTCGACGAGATATAGATATTCAAGATATAACTTATTCCACACAAAACAAACAAGGTCGGTCGAGCCATTTAGCTGTTTAGTTGTGTGTTCGAACGAAGTACCAGGAATCAGGCTCGTGTTGTTTACGTTTGGTCCGAACGAAGTGCCACGAGTTAGGCTTATTGTTTTTGGCTGAAATTTCTTCAACCACGAGTCTCACTCGTTGTTGAAGGACAACCGGTTAATTTTTAATTTAACACGATTTTCTATTATAAAATAAAAATATTTCATATATTTCGATAAATACGTCGTTTATACGAGTTTACGAGAAGAATTTCGTACGTGTTCAAACTCCTTCCACTTTAAGATTATTCCCCGAATAAAAATGTCTGGTGCACTGTTTTTCCAGGTACGATGGTTCCAACAGCAGCACGAGAAGAAACGCAAAAAGAGGGATTTTATGCCCTCGTCGTTCTCGTTCGATTATCCGACGTTTTTCGACGAGTTCGGCCCACGTCCTAGGCAGACCACGTACCATCGGCAAAGGAACAGAGGTGTGCCTCTTCAAAACCTGTTCACGGATCCTCTCTTTAAGGAACAGTGGTACCTGGTAAGTGGGCCCTTCGATTTTACTTCCCTGGAACCTCGACCGAAACGAACTCTACGTGACGAGACTCTGTCACTTCTGGGATGCGTGCTTGACACGACAGGATTCCAAAGTTCCAGATCCACAGTTCAACCCCATCCCCCGTCTATCCAATCCGTTTTCATTGAATTTTTCATCGATTCCACTCTCTCGACGATGCCGTAACAACAATGAAATAAAGGAAGAAAATAGGGGCATTTATTTTCTGTAATTTTTGCAACAATTTCTTTGCAACTATTTTTAACGTTGGTAAAAATTCATTTCGTGATCGTGCACAGTATTCGAAAGGAGAGTAATGTATATATTATTGTATATATTATTGTATATATTATGTATAATAATTGTATTTCGTTTATTTAATGATTTTTTCGGTTATTTTTAATTTAATTGATCGTTGAAATTTCTATTGGAAAAATATTCTAATAAAGGAAAAAAAAAAAAAATACAAAAACAAAATTGGATATATTTGGAAAAATGAAATGGACATTTATTTTATAGCAAAAACTAAATTTTTATCCAAAATCGGGAACGATGTATGACGATGAACAATGAAACTCGAGTATTGCCCGCGACAAAAAGAATGTTCGATATCGTTGGAATTTTATTGATGAAACAATTTGTCAGAATTTCGTTTCTAGAATGAACAATTAAAAAAAAAAAAAAAGATGATGGTTATTTCCAAAATGAATATATATATATATATATATATATATATATACACTACTTACCTACGTCGTA